GAATTGGAGAACTTTGGCTCATGGATGTTGGTGAAAAAACCAACTAGAAAGTATGCTCCTCGTCAACCTAAGGGTGCACCAGCTGCTGAAAAACTCAATTTGGGTGGTAATGGGGTAGCGCGTGATGCTCAGAGAACTCAGAAGGCGGGTGAGATGGTTAAGGAAGGTAGCGGATTTCAAGGGGGAGGTTCTAGATTTTCCATATTAGATAACCATGATAATATGGAAATAGAGAATAATGGGAGTGATTTAAGGGAAATTGTTAACTTGGATGACCCTTTACAGGCAGGTTTAGGAGATAAATTTGCAAATTTTGATATTGGTAATATTGATGTGGGAATTAGGAAGGATTCGAAAGTGACAATTAAGAAAAAATCTTTTTCAAAAAAGATTGATTCGAAGATAAGCAAGGATATTTGCAAATCTTTTTCCCAAGATTCTATCACTCCTCTCTCGGAAATTAATCCTAACATTCCAAGAAGCCTTTCCCCCTCTGCTGTTATTCATGCCAAAAATAAGGAAACTACTTCTCTTGTCCACCAAGGCGTATCTTTGAAGTCATTGCAAGTCAACCCAGGACACTTCGAAGCTATTGAAAGTACTACTCAAGCCATCGATAGCCAAGAAATAGCCAAAACTCATGTCTCCTCAACTTTCCCCGATAAGTTTAGTGATCCCTCTAGACAAAACACTATGTGTGGGGCAATTAATGGAGAAGCCATACTTGGTGATGGTGAACCCCCTGATCCACACTCTGGAAATCAGGATAGAGTCCTGGATGCCACCGGTTTCGGACCCCCCGGAGCTGGTAATGATGATGGGTATACCTGTTGAAACGCAACGCTTGTTGCGGTTAATAAGTCAAGCATATGTGACAACTCTCCCATCGATACCTATGTATATGGAAGATACTCTACCTAATTTAGCTCCAGATTCCTTACCAATCACGTGCTTGGTGTGGAATGTTCAAGGTGCGGGTAACCGCAATTTTTTTATCTATCCTTAAGGATTTAATTCGAGAGAATAAACCCAATGTCTTTGTTCTTGTGGAGACACACATGGGTGGTGCGCAAGCTGAAAAAATTGCCTCAATGGTTGGCTATTCGGGTCACTCAGGAGTAGACGTTGTTGGTTTTAGTGGTGGGATTTGGGTTTATTGGCGACCGGATGTTGTTACTGTCAATCCCATTCATAAACACAAACAATATATCACGATGGATATTTCTAGACAAGGAGCTGTCCCCTGGTACTTCACTGCTGTATATGCGAGTCCGGACCCTTCCCAACGCCAAGAGTTATGGCAAGAATTGAAAAACTTTGCAACAACCCACAATAAGCCTTGGCTCATTGCGGATGATTTTAATGATACGAGGTTCCCCTCGGAGAGGAACTCATCCTGTCGAGAGACTACTAGGAGGTCGCGTTTGTTCAATGATTGGGTAGAAGAAATGGATCTCATTGAGGTCGAATTTATGGGAGCAGCCCACACTTGGAGCAGGGGCAATTCTGAAGAGACGAGAAGAAGTGGCAGGCTCGATAGAGCGTTGTGTACTGACAATTGGGCTCTTCGATTCGATAAGGCCAAGGTTAAACATCTGCCTGCTATACATTCTGATCATTGCCCAATTTTTATCTCACCAAATGGTTTTGTACCTTTACAAGCCTTACACCGTCCATTCAGATTCCAAGCAACTTGGTTAACGCATGAAAATTTCAAGGAGTTTGTATCTCAAAAATGGGATTCGAATGGTACACTCATGTCTTCTCTGTCAAAGCTATCGAAAGACCTTCAATGTTGGAATAGGGATGTCTTTGGAAATGTGTTCAAGCAAAAGAGAAATTTGATGGCAAGGATTGCAGGGGTTCAAAGAAAACTTGCTGAAAAATCAGATAGAGGTCTCATTAAACTAGAAGCTCGTCTGCGCAAGGATCTTGATGAGATTTTGGATCGTAAAGAAATTATTTGGTATCAAAAATCCCGGGTTGACTGGCTTAAAAATGGGGATAGAAATACTACATTTTTCCATTTAAGCACCATAGTACGAAGGTGGAAAAATAAGGTTGCTGCCATCAAAGATGAAAATGATGTTTGGTTGGAGGATAAATTGCAAATTCAAGACCATATTGTTCAATACTTTGCCAAGCTGTTCACAGAAGAAAATGAGCCGAGTTCTTTTGATGTTCCCCAAGACATTTTTCCGGAGCTTTCTACCCAGGATTGGAGTGGGCTGGTTCGACCTTATTCGAGACTAGAAGTTGAAGTTGTGATAAAGGAAATGGGCTCCCTAAAAGCTCCGGGACCGGATGGATTTCAAGCCCTTTTTTACCAAAAAAATTGGGATGTGGTGGCTAACACGGTGTATGATACAATTATGCCTATCCTAGAAGGTAAGGGTATCCCTGATCGCCTCAATGAAACATACATCACATTGATACCAAAAATCGATAATCCAGAGCTTGCGTCTCACTTTCGCCCCATTGGACTATGCAATGTGGCATATAAAGTGGTCACCAAGGTGATTGTCAATAGACTTAAACCGGTCCTGCCTCATTTAATCTCTAATACTCAAGCTAGTTTTGTACCGGGACGCCAAATCACGGACAACATTGTCATTGTGCAAGAAGTAATTCACACGATGAGATGGAAGCAAGGAAAAAAGGGGTATATGGCAATCAAGATCGACTTTGAGAAAGCATATGATAGATTGCGATGGTCATTTATTAGGGATACCATGGTACAAATGAACCTCCCTATTTTTATGATTGAGGTTATCATGGAGTGTATTTCCACAGCTTCTTTGCAAGTATTATGGAACGGTGAGCCCTCAAAAATCTGCAAACCGAGCCGAGGTATACGGCAAGGGGACCCTCTTTCCCAATACCTCTTTGTAATGTGTATGGAGAGGTTCTACCAAGTAATCGAGGAATCTATTATTCAAGGTAAATGGAAGCCTATATACGCCAGTCGAGATGGTCCAGCCTTATCGAACTTGTTTTTTGCCGACGATATAATTCTTTTTGCTGAGGCTACAATTGAACAGGCAGAAAATATTCATAAATGCCTAGACCGATTCTGTCAAGCTTCTGGTCAAAAAATAAGCTTTGCCAAATCACGAGTTTATATTTCAGCAAATATGGATGATGATTCTCAACAAGCGATAAGTGCAACCTTGCGTATGGAAGCTACCCCTGATCTTGGTACTTACCTCGGTATGCCCACGCTTACAAGTCGAGTCACAAAGGAGACGTTCAGCCACCTCTGTGAAAAAATAGATAGGCGATTGTCGGGTTGGAAATCAAAGTATTTGTCGTTGGCGGGCCGTATCACTTTAGCTAAGTCCTCCATCTCAACCATGGCTCTTTATTCTATGCAATTGGCTAAGATTCCGAGATCAACTTGTGAAGAAATTGATAGAAAAACCCGTAGATTTATTTGGGGTGGAAGTGATGAGAAAAGACGAGTGCATTTGCTGTCATGGGAGGTGCTGCAACGACCCATTGAAAAAGGTGGGATTGGTATTTTCTCGGCTAAACAGGCTAATGCGGCTTTCTTAACAAAGCTTGGTCGGAGAATTCTCTCGGAACCTAATGCCTTATGGTCTAGAGTGTTGAGAGCTAAGTATTGTAAGGGCCGTTGCGATATGGATATGTTTGAACATAAGGTGGGATGCTCTAATGTGTGGAGTGGGATCACAGAAAATTCGAAAACGCTTAATGAAGGTCTAAGAGTTGCGGTGGGAAATGGTGGAAAAACTTTGTTTTGGGATCACAAGTGGGCTACTAATGAACCCTTCAGAGACCTCGTTACCCAACCTCTTCCAATGGAATTGGCAGGTTCGACAGTGGGTGAGATGTGGGAGGATGGGCATGGATGGCGTTGGAACATCTTTGCCCCATTCCTTGATCAAAGTGTTCTTAAGAAAATTCAAAATTATGAGGTGAGACTTGATTCCTCGATTGGTGATTTGGTGTATTGGAAGGATGGTGATAAGGGGAAGTTCAAAATCAAGTCGGCCATCCAGATTATGCAACATCATACCGATGTCTTAGATGAAGAATGTTGGGATGCGGTTTGGCATGCCCCTGTCCAACAGCGTATTAGAGCTTTCCTCTAGTTAGCTTGTCACGATAGGGTGCTTGGCAACTCAAATATGTTCAAGAGGCGCATGACTGACAACCCGAGGTGATACATATGTGGTGGTGCTGATGAGAGTACCCTCCACATTATTAGGGACTGTGCGGCTGCTCGAGTTGTGTGGCGTAATGTGGTGGATGACTCAATTAGGGACATATTCTATCATGGCAATTTGAAAGAGTGGATCACTGAGAATATAAAAGAAGACTCTTTGGAAGGAACGGAGTCTTGAGCAACCTTCTTTGGAGTTGCGGTTTGGTGGATATGGAGATGGAGGAATTGCTATGTTTATAATAGACGCAATGAACTTCCCATTGATGCAGGAGCGTTTCTTCAAGTGAGGTATGAAGAGGCTAGACGGGCAATTTGGGATGCATTGGACGACAGCAATGCAAAGCCACGCTACAAGGTGCCCATCACTTGGCAACATCACTTGGCATGCCCCCCCCCTATGGCTGGTATGTGCTTAATTGTGACGGAGCTGCTAAGGGATGTCCTGGGCCAGCTGGGGGAGGGGGAATAATTCGAGATTATGCTGGAAACATGGTGTCTGCTTTTGCAGCTAGCTTTGGGTACTGTTCTGCATTTCGAGCTGAAGTGTTGGCCTTAGTTCGAGGGCTAGAAATTGCTCGCAATCTTCAGATTGACAAGCTAGAAGTCCAAGTTGATAATCAGGCTTGTGTACACGCTTTGAACACGCAGCAAGTTGCTTATGGGGAGAATATCCATGACATCAGGCAATGTTTAGATCTCCTTAATGACAATCGATGACAAGTGAAGTTGGTCCATGTGTTCCGGGAGGGCAATAAAGCGGCGGATTGGTTGGCCAACCGCGGAGTCATTCAAGACTCTCAACTTGAAAATTTTAATAATAACATTCCGATGGAGCTTAGTCGTATTTTAGAGGAGGACATTCGAGGTGTGGCTATGCCACGGCTAATCCCTCCTTAGTTAGTTTGCTTTGCTTGTGTTTTTTTTTTTTGCATGGTCCAAAATAAAAAAAATATATTTTTATTACAATATAAAAAATGAAAATGACTTTCCATCCACAACCCTAAAAACACAACCTACTCACTTTCTTATTCTGTTAACCCATTTTCTTCCTTGTCCCTCCTATTTATACACTTCTCCTATTCTGCTGTCTTTAATTCTTTTCCTCCTCCACCTCGTCCGCCACCGCCTCGTCCTCCTCGAATCTTTGTTGATTATAAGCAAACACTAGCTGAAGCTCTATATGTTTGTTGACTGTTATTGTTCCGCAAGTAATTTTCGAAAATTCTAGAAAATGGAGGATGATACTGATAATGAGATGAAATCTTCTAGCAGCTGTCCTAGAGGTAACTGGAGACCAGAAGAAGACGAAAAACTTCGAAAACTTGTCGAGCAGTATGGCCCTCAGAATTGGAATTCCTTAGCTGAGAAGCTCCAAGGAAGATCAGGTACTTATAAATTTCCCTTCTATTTCTTTATTAAAAGCCGAATTCCATGTTTCTGAGTGATTTTGATATTATTAACATAGGAGTTTCATTCATATAATTTGTAAATATACAGACATAAACAAATTATAACATCAATTTCTTTAATTTGGGATTTTTTTTAAAAATCTATATTATATGCTCATGGGGTTGATGTGAAATTTAAGCATCCTATCTAGGTTTATTAGAAAAAAAAATAAAAATAATTTTAGAGAATTGCTTTTTATTGTTTTATGTCAAGTGAAATGGACTAATTAGAAGGATTTTTTGTTTTTGTTTTTTTTTTTTTTCAGGTAAGAGTTGTAGGTTAAGGTGGTTCAATCAATTGGACCCAAGAATCAATAGAAAGGCATTCACAGAAGAGGAGGAAGAACGGCTTTTGACCGCCCATCGGATCCATGGGAACAAATGGGCCTTAATTTCGCGATTATTCCCTGGTAGAACAGACAATGCCGTCAAGAACCATTGGCATGTTATCATGGCAAGGATGCAAAGGGAACGGTCCAAGCAACAATCTAACAAGAGATCAAGCTTAATTAGTAGTTCAAGTGTTTTGTCTACCACTTCATCAACTCATGACTTTCTCTCGAAAACTTGGAAGTCTCAAAACAATTATGGTACCCTAAAGAATAACGATCATGGTCATGGATTGTACAAGTTCGAACAATATTCAAATGATGAGAGGAAATTACGGAATTATAGGGCATCATCTTCATCAGCTTCGATGACACAACCACAATGTTTACTAGGGAATTGGCGCGGAATTAATAACAATAGTACTAGTAGCTCAATCTTTGAGCACTCAAATGGTTTTAATACAAGGTTTTCATGTGGTCATTCGAGTACACTATTGGATGGGAGTCAGTGTGGAATAGGGTTTGGTAGTTCGTCTTATGGAGTCAATTATTGTGCCGACCACAAGGGTATTCATTCTAGCTATGCTCCGTTTCCTGGCCAAAGCAAGATGATGACGACAACAACGACTGCTATGAGGCGACCATCATTACTCGAAAGATTGGAGAAAGAGGAAGAACAAGCAAGTAACAAAAAAGAGGTTAAGTTTATTGATTTTCTTGGGGTGGGCAACACTTAGCTTCCTGATCAACAAAATTCTCATAATTCAGTTTAGTTAAACATAAATTATTTCCTTTAATAATCTATTATTTCAAAGCCGGCTATGTAATTACTGCCTTTCTAATTTCCTCTCTTCTCATTTTGTTTTTGTTTTGAGCATCTAAAAATGCATGTAACTAGAGATCGAGCGAGGGATTAAATTATAAACTTATTAGTTATGAACTAGTTATGACTAATATAAATTATAAAACTGTTTTACTTGTTTGTTACACTAGTAAATAATTATTTTTAGCATTATATACTTTTATAATATATATATATATATGATGGGCTGGTTGATGATTACTCTTGTTTCAATCAATTTATATACTTGTTTCTTGTGAAAGTGAGATCAAATTAAGCTAAGGTAATGGATCAAGAATATACTATACATAACAGTTACACCAAGATGGTAGTATATGTGAATAATTAAACGCACCTTCAAATTTATGTAAAGCAGGTACATGATATAAAACTACATTATTTAATTTAGCTTGTTGGTTATACCGTTATACTAAGAAATAAAAAGAAATTAAATTACCTCCTTTTGTGTAGGTAAGTTGGTTATTAATGTCATCTTTAATAAACTCATTGGATTCTTTAAATAATGAAGAATTTATCCGGTGATGTAAGTTGTAAACCTATTTGGCATATGTGTCAAAAAAATTAATCTATGTGGCATATATCGCTAATTAAATTTACATATTAATCGGTAAAAAAAATATTATTTATTGATTAATACGAGTACAAAGTTTATGGAGTATGTTTTTTTTTTTCCTTCAAATCTGATGCAATTTTCGTAGTCCTTCGGTTTTTAGGGTATTGATAAAGTCGTATTAGCTGCAAATTTACATAGGACACTCAGTTCACCTATGTCCGACTTGAAAGGATTACACTGTACTACACATAATTTTGAGTTTTACTGTGTCTGTACTAGTTTAAATTTATTCTGGACTCGTAATACATAAGTCACAATGCATTACAAGGTTTAGCTTTAATGTTGATGAGTTGGTTGATGAAGTCACTATCACTATATAAAACTTGCTCAAATGCTAAATTTGTGATGTAGTGTATTTGTTTCTCACTGTAAATTGGTTTGCCAAGTATAACTTAAACCCCATAATTAGAAAAAGGAAAAATTGGACCATTTTCTACTAGTGTACATGTTGCTGAGCACAAATTAAAATGGAAGACAAAGAGAGATAATTATTAGCTGTCTTGAAGAAGAAGAATTAAATGGCTTACTATTTTAAGGCTTTAGTTTTTGCTATATTTAGATGAGTGCATGCTTTGAAATCTCCTAAAAAATGCATTATCTTAAAAAATACATCATCTTACTTTAACAAGATTAGGGTTGGTTCAACTATTCTTCTAAGTTTTTGGCTTCAAACGTGTTAATTATGATTCACAACAATAGGACAAATTTAATTAAGATTGCCATGTGAAAAGTGATCAATTTTAAATATTTTAGTATGTAAGAGACAAATAACAACTACCCTTTCTAGTTTAGGATTTGATATGAATGAATATATGCAACTTTTTTAATAGATAGGAGGCCATTATAGCTTTGTGGTCAAAGATTAACACATGTTATAGATTTACTGCAATCTGGTTTTGGTAAAAATCTTAATAGATATTTGAAAAAAAAAAATGTTTGAAAAGTAGTTTAATTTGAAAAACATTCTTATCATATTACTTTCATATTAGACATTTTTGTGTGATACAAGTAATATAATTAAGGCCTTAATCTATTCAACTTTTTTTTTTTTTTTTAATTTATTTTAGGAAAAATAAGTTATGATAAGTTTAGATAAAATAAGTTCATAAAATAAATTTTAATAAGGGTTATCGAGGTTCAATTAAGTTGGCATTTGTGGCAAATAAGCCCCAACACTTAAGTCTCATGTGCAAATTAACCCCCTTACTATTAATTGTTGCAAATTAAACCTATATCTTTTGTAATATGTGCAATCAACATCAATAGACGTTTTTTCGGTCACATCTAACCTGCAATTTTTAATTCAACCAGATTACAATTATATGTTTTCAACTTTATTCAATTACAACTATATATTTACCACTATACAATACAACTCTTATACATTTGAACTACGAAGAATTTATATACTTAGTACGACATACATGTAAAGCTTCATTATAAATAGAACATCATTGAATACAAATCAATTTATACTGACATAAAATAAAATTTTGCAAGAGTAGTCACGCAGCAGTCGCAGTACCGTTATAGTCTAAGATCTCCATCCTCTTAATTTGTGTAAGATGAATACCTCATAACTACAATAACACAATTGGGTTTCTTCCCCTCTTCTTTAATCTCTATGTCTACTACTTGATTCATTCTTCTATTAAACATTAATTTGAGCTTGTTTTAATGGTGGAAGATGGAGAAGTAATTTTTATTATGAATTGAGACAGAGATGGTGAGATGAGAGAGAAAATGGTGTGAGATTGAGAAGACCATAAGGTTGATGGAATATTTATTTTAAAGAAGTAGATGGATTATTTCTAGTAGCATACAATAATATTAGATAGTTTCCAAGCCATGCTCAGTTTTTAAAATCAATGGTAATTGAAATTTTAATATAGTTTCTAAAAAATGTAATTCAAAATTCCATATATATAATTAAATGATAAAGTTCTTAGGCAGATTAATACTTCTACAAAAATCTTTTTTTTTTTAAAAAAAAAAAAAAAAAGATAAAGTAGAGTTAGGCCCTGTTCTTTTGAGCTTCTGGGCAGAGCAGAGCAGGGATTATTAGAGCAGAGCAGGGATTGTCAGAGCAGAGCAGAGCAAATTTATTGCTAATTAAAATGATGGTTGTTTCCTCTAAAAGACAAGTCTACTTTGATATGTAGAGACATAATAATCTATTTGTGTATTATTTATTTATTGCTAATTAAAATGATGGTTGTTTTCCGGTGAAATTTGTTCATTTAGATTAGATAACTGTTTACCAGTAATTAAATTGCACAATTTTTAAAGTAGTGGGTTTTATTTGCTACAAATAATATTAAGGGGACTAATTTGCACATAGTACTTAAGTCTTGGGGCTCATTTGCCACATATTCCTCTAAGTATCACTAAAGTAGCAATCGTTAAGTTGACACGTATTATCCACGTGGCAGTTTTACAAGAAAAAAATTTCCCGCCTAAATAAATACTGATGTCATTATATTTTTCTTTAATTGGTTTCAAATTTCAAATTTAATTTTCCCTTCTCTCAATTTATCTATGCTCTTTAATTTATTTATTTTTTTTCTATCACCAACTATCTGTATCTAATGCATCTTTCCCTTGTGCTTCATCGAACAAAAAACTTTGTATGTATATATTTTTTTCTATTTTCCTTTATATATATCAAGTTTAAAATCATTTCCTATTTGCTTAAAATTGTGTATAAGTACAAGTCTAACATTTCATATATGCTTAAATTTTCATATTCGGTTTGTCTTCTTCAAAATTAATTATATTAAATTAGCATTTACAGCTAATGGTTATGTCTTTATAACTTTTCTCATATGAGGTAATTAAGTAATAAGAATACATAAAATATATACTCTATTTTTCAAAGAAATTTTTAATATCGTACATCACACGGGGCTAATCTAATTACAACTTAAATAAGTTCTATTAAATTTAAATAAAATAATTAAGATAAACTCATAACTAAAACTCAAGTGAGTAGAACACACCTTAATAAGATTAATAGTTTTTGACAACCAATACAAGAGTCAAATGTGATCTACAGTGATTATATTATTTTTCAAAATTCGGCTTTATGTAAAACTAGCATTGATCTTGTGCATTGCATAGATAGGAGTGAAAGCCTCATAGGACTAAGATATTACTTTTTACACATAAATTTAGTTATTATACTTTTTTAGTTTATACCTCCTTATTTGATTAGATTATTATAAGTTGTTCACAAATTCTTATATGTGGTTAGTCACATGGTATAACCACTTCACGCATATATAAGCAAATATTTAAGTAATGAAAGCTACAACAATGATCAAATGAGGTTATTGTATAGTAATAGGAAAATGGGGTTACTGTTTTATAAACAAATGTGGCCATACCTTGTAGCTGACCACATAAAAGATATATTGTAAGTTGTTTATTATTATTGAATAAGTTTTAAGTGATTGTGCTAGAAAAAGTATGATACGTATCCAAATTTTCTAATATATACTTTATTAAAATAGGAAATTTTGTAAGAAACTACCTTTTAAATCCTTGTTTTGTAAAAAAACACCTTTTAAAAAATGATGATTGAATCGTTAGTAGTCAAAACTCATTTTCCTGTAATAGGTGGTGAATTATAACAAAAAAAAAAAAAAAAAAAGAAAAGATGGGTTTTTACAATTTTTTAAAATGGGGTTTTCACAAAAATAAGGATTTAATTTAAAAGGCAATTTTTGACAAAATTTTGAGCAAAATATTATGTTATATTGTATATTTTTTATTAGAAGGAATTGAACTTACCCGAGATAACATGTGTCACATCCAATGTGACTTTTGTAATTTTATAATTAAAATATATTGTGTAATTAATTGTAGCCGCCATCTATTAGGAGGAAGAGGTAATAGTTTCTCACTTTTTAAGGATTGCTCATGTCCACCTGAACAAGAAAACGTACATGAGTAATATAGCAAATACGAACAATTCCATGAAATTGAAACATTGAATTTAGTTATAAAAAAAAGGTAATAGTTTCTCATTTTTAAGGATTTCACTGATGTGCACCTGAACAAGAAATTGTACATGAGTAATATAGTAAATGCAAACAATTCCATGAAATCAATACATTGAATTTAGTTATTAAAATAGGTATATGTTTCTCATTTTTAAGGATTGCTCTTACATGCACCTGAACAAGAAAATGTACAAGAGTAATATAGCAAATAGGAACGATTCCATAAAGTGGATAGATTGAATTTAGTTTGAAATTTGTATAAGACGTCGATATTATACCCACCAAGAAAAGATTGATAGATGCATATTGATTTCTTGTAGAAATGTTGATGTTAATAGATAAACTATTTGTAAATAACATGAGATACAAATTAAGATAACTTAATTTGATTGATTTCATGGGTGAGTAATCTCGATCAGTTAAGAAACCAACTTCTATTGTTATTTAATTGGTCACTTGCACATAACTATATAGTATTATGTATGCAGTAAAGTCACTTGCACGTATA